ATATATATATATATATATATATATATATAATGTTCCGTCGTTGCAGTGTTAAACTTAACCCTTACGACCTCGTTGTTGTTGGTGGTGGCCCTGGCGGTTATGTGGCAGCCATTAAAGCAGCACAGCTTGGCCTTAAAACAGCTTGCATTGAGAAGCGTGGAGCACTTGGTGGTACCTGTTTGAATGTTGGCTGTATTCCTTCCAAGGCACTTTTGCATGCAACACACCTTTACCATGATGCTCACGCCAACTTTGCGCGCTATGGTCTTTTGGGTGGTGAGGGTATCACCATGGACACCTTGAAGATGCAGGAGCAGAAGGAGAGAGCGGTAAAAGGTCTTACAGGAGGTGTGGAATATCTCTTCAAGAAGAACAAGGTAACATATTACAAGGGTGAGGGTAGTTTCGAATCACCCAATGTTATCAAGATGGCTGGACTTGATGGTAAGGAGGAGAAGATTGAGACAAAGAATACAATTATTGCTACAGGCAGTGAACCAACACAGTTACCATTCCTTCCCTTTGATGAGAAGGTAGTACTCTCTTCTACTGGTGCTCTCGCCTTGCAGAAGGTCCCTAAGAAAATGGTTGTCATTGGTGGTGGTGTTATTGGTCTCGAACTCGGAAGTGTTTGGGCCCGACTTGGTTCAGAAGTGACGGTGGTTGAGTTCGCCCCACGTTGTGCTCCGACGCTTGATGAGGATGTAACAAAATCCCTTGTTGGGGCCCTTACGAAGAATGAGAAGATGAAGTTTATGACCAGCACGAAGGTGGTGAGTGGAACAAACAATGGGGATAGTGTAACACTCGAAGTGGAAGGAAAAGACGGCAAGCGACAGACGCTTACATGTGATGCGCTGCTCGTATCGGTTGGCCGTCGTCCATACACGGCTGGACTCGGTCTTGACAAGGTTGGTGTCGCTACAAATGAACGCGGCTTTGTGAAGATTGGCAGTCACTTTGAGACGAATGTGCCTGGAGTGTTTGCCATTGGTGATGTTGTGGATAAGGGACCCATGCTTGCCCACAAGGCGGAGGATGAGGGTGTGGCGTGTGCAGAGATGCTCGCTGGCAAACCCGGGCATGTGAACTATGATGTCATTCCTGGTGTGATCTACACAATGCCGGAGGTGGCCAATGTGGGAAAGACAGAACAGGAACTTAAACAGGCAGGAGTCTCTTATAAAGTCGGCAAATTCCCATTTAATGCCAACAGCCGTGCAAAGGCAGTGGCCACAGAGGACGGTTTTGTAAAGGTGCTTGTGGATAGCAAGACGGATCGTATTCTCGGTGTGCACATTGTCTGTTCTGCTGCCGGTGAACTTATTGCAGAGGCGTGTCTTGCAATGGAGTACGGTGCCAGCAGTGAAGATGTTGGCCGCACCTGCCACGCCCATCCAACAATGTCAGAGGCGGTGAAGGAGGCTTGCATGGCATGTTTTGCAAAGAGCATCAATTGTTAATGATTTACTGTGCGTGGTCTATTTTTCGATTGTTTTTTTTTTTTTTCTTTCTTTCATGGATATATATATATATATATATATTTATATATATTTATTGTAG